GCTGAGCAGTTTCCTTGGCTGTGGGTACAGATGGACAGGGAGCGCAGTGCACCATCTTGGTGAAATGGTCGGAGAAAACCAGAAGGCAGGTACAGCCACGAGACGAGGGTAAGTCCACTACAAAGTCCAACGAAACTGTGTGCCAAGGGCGCGGTGGAACTGGCAATGGCTGAAGTAGGCCGGGGGTCGCCCGGTAGGCCCCTTGGCGCGTCGGCAGACATCACAACCAGCAACGTAGCGAGCCACGTCAGCCTTCAGGCGGGGCCACCAAAACTCACGACTGACCAGATGGGTGGTCCGATACCGTCCAAAGTGCCCCGCTGCCGGGGCATCATGGGCCATCCGGAGAACCTCCAGCCGCAGTGGCCCTGGCGGGATGTACAGACGACCGTGGTGCAGCAGGAGGCCCTGATGCAGGACCAGCCCCGGATACTGTGGGCTGGACCCTTCAGCCAGCTCCCGGAGTCGTTCCTGGGCCCAAGCGTCGACCCGCTGCTGTTCCCGCACCCGAACCTGCAGTGGCTGCGCCTCCTGGGTGGCCAGGAATGCGGCCGGAGGTAGGATCGTGGCGGGTTCTGCTTGCTGTACCGTGTCTGCGTTGTCTTCAGGTTTCCGGGACAGGGCATCCGCCTTCAGATTCTGAGAGCTAGGGATGTAGCGGATCCGAAACTGGAACCGGGAAAAGAACAACGCCCACCGGATCTGTCTTTGGTTCAGCTTGCGGGTGGTCTGGAGGTACTCCAGGTTCCGGTGGTCGGTTCTTACCTCCACCGGATGTCGTGCCCCTCAAGATGGTGGCGCCAGACCTCAAAGGCTACCTTGATGGCCAGTAGTTCCCGCTCCCACACAGTATAGTTACGCTCCGCTGGTAGGAGCTGGCGGGAATAGAAGGCACAGGGTAAGAGTGGCGCTTCGGGCCCAATCTGTTGGGACAAGACGGCACCGAGAGCCGTACTGGAGGCGTCGGTCTCCACCACAAAGGGTCGAGAGGGGTCAGGGTGTTGTAAGATTGGTGCCCTCTGGAAACAGGCCTTCAACCCCTGAAACGCCTCCTCTGCCTCCTTGTCCCAGGAAAACGGCGTCTTTGGGCGCAGTAGCCGGGTCAACGGGGTGGTGCGATGAGCATAATCAGCGATGAAGGTCCGGTAGTAATTGGCGAACCCCAGGAAACGTTGTAGGTCCTTGCGGTTCCGGGGTGCCGCCCATTCTTGAACCGCTGTCACCTCCCCGGGTCCATTTGCACCCCATCCGGAGAGAGCCGGTGACCAAGGAAGTCCACAGTCCGCTGATGGAACTCGCACTTGCTGAGCTTTGCGTACAAACGGTGCTCACGCAAGCGCTGCAGCACGGTCCGGACATGTTCCTCATGGCGAGCCGGGTCACGGGAGTAAATCAGTATGTCATCCAAATACACCACCACGTACTTGTCTAACAAGTCCTGAAACACGTGGTTGATGTAGCGTTGGAACACAGCAGGCGCGTTGCACAACCCGAAAGGCATAACCAAATATTCGAACTGCCCGTACCGGGTCCCAAACGCTGTCTTCCACTCATCCCCGGCTCGGATCCGAATCAAGTTGTAGGCCCCCCGGAGGTCCAGCTTGGTGAACACCTGTGCCCCTTGCACCCGCTCCAGCAGCTCCGAGATAAGGGGCAAGGGGTATCGGTCTGGGACGGTAATTTTGTTCAAGGCTCGGTAATCATGGCAAGGGCGGAGTTCCCCACATTTCTTCTTAACGAAAAGCACTGGTGCCGCGGTAGGCGAGGTGGACGGCCTAATGAACCCACGCTCCAGGTTCTTGCGCAAGAAGTCCTGCAAAGCCTCGCGCTCTGGCTCTGTTAGAGAATATAAGCGACTCACTGGTAGAGGCGCTCCGGGTTGGAGGTCTATGCCGCAGTCAAAGGCCGATGCGGCGGCAGCTGGTCTGCCCCCGTTCCTCGAACACGTCCTGGTAGTCCTGATACCCGGCGGGGAGCGTGGGTGCTGCCTCCTCTGAGGGCGCGGCCGCCAGCGTCCCAGATTGAGCATGGGAACATGGGTCTGGGAAGTGCACGGTCCGTTTGACCCAGTGAATCTGAACGTTGTGGGCTTCCAGCCAGTCCATCCCGAGCACCAGGGGGAAGCGGGGCATAGAGGCAATGTCCAAAGTTCGCAACTCCCGGTGCTGCTGGAAACACAGGACCAGGGGCTAGCAGTGGTCGCCCCCGGGTCGTGGTGGCGCCCGGCGCCGGGGGGTTCCGGTTTCGTCCCCCTTGGACATGACGCTCTCCATGACGGGCCGGGAGCGCGCAGAGTACGTCCGGTGGAAGCAGGCGCGGGAGCAAACTGTGCTGGTCCCGGGGGTAAGGTACCTTGGGTGTAGCAGAGTCCACACGAAGAGGGGCAAGGTCCGAGGCAGAGAGCCGGGCGGGGAACAGGAGTGCTGGAACAGGAGGCTGTGCAGGGAACAGGAACACCGGATGGTCGGGAACAGGAGGCCGAGCAGGGAACAGGAGCACCGGATAGTCAGGAACAGGAAGCCGAGCAGGGATCAGGAACACAGGAAGGTCCGAAGCCAACAACGACGTTGCTCCCGCAACCTGGGGCCGGGCTGACTGGGCTTTTATCCTCTTCTAAGGCCAGGGGCGGTCCCGGTCCCCAGGAGCCCCGCCTCCTCTGGCCTTAAGGCGAGCACTCCTCCTGGGGCAACCAGTTCCCTTCGCCTCTCTGCCCTAAGCCTCTGCAGATCAGGAGAGGCCGAAGGGTTACTGGGCCCTGGAGGAGGCTCACCTGTGGCCACTGAGTCATCAAGCCCCTCTGGGGCCCGAAGGGCTTCACCTGGGGCCAGCTCCTGATGCACTGCCACAGGTGCAGGCTCTTCAGCATCAAGGCCTTGCCCCAGTTCAGCCGGCCCTGGAGGCGGGGACTCCTGTGCAGGCCGGGATTCCTCTGTTTCATCCTCCGAATCGGAATCCCAGGCCATCACACCAGGCTTCAGCGAAAGCCTGCATTCGCCCCATAGGATGCACACACATTTCCCCTTCATTTTTGGAGGGGAAAAAGTGCGTCCCATAGGGCGAAAAAACGGTACATCATAAACTATCGTGTCTGTAGGTACCCTTCTATTCTGCCTTGGTCAGACCGCACCTGGAGTCCTGTGTTCAGTTCTGGGCGCCACAATTTAAAAAGGATATGGACAAGCTGGAACATGTGCAGATGAGGATGACCGCTGAGATGGTCAAGGGTCTGGAAACCAAGCCTTATGAGGAACGGTTGAAGGAGCTGCGTAAGTTTAGCCTAGAAAAGAGGAGACTGGGAGGAGATATGATGGTCATCTTCAATTACAGTCATACCTCCGGTTGCGAACGTGATCTGTGCGGGAGGCATGTTCGCAACCCGCAGCGTTTGTAGCCTCAAGCGCCGAGTCAGTGCATGCGCGTGACGTGATTCGGCACGTCTGCGCATGCACGTGATGTCATTTTGCGCTTCTACGCATGTGTGAGACCAAAACCCAGAAGTAACCCGTTCCAGTACTTCCGGGTTCTGCACTGTTCACAACCCAAAAACGAGCAACCCACAGCATTCGTAACCCGAGGTATGACCGTATCTCAAGCTCTGTCACATGGAAGATGGAGCAAGCTTGTTTTCTCCTGCTCTGGAGGGTAGGAACTAAACTAATGGCTTTAAAAGAAAGGAAGATTTTTCTGATGATAAAGAGTTGTTTGACAGTAGAACGGACTCCATTGGAAGGTATTAGATTCCTTTCTTGGAGGTTTTAAGCAGAGGTTGGATATCATCTGTCATGGATGCTGTTATGTACTGAAGTTCTCACCCTGGGCCAGCAGGGGGATACTGTAGATAGTTCAGGTCCACATGTGCAAATAAGGGATCGAAAGTGACGTTCAGTGATTGGATAGTTGCAGAAAATGGTTACTGTTGCGTTCCAGTGGAGCTCTATATAGGCAGGCTGGCTGAACCCTTCGGTTCAGTTCTGTTCTGGCCTCTGAATAAACAAGAGCTGTTTGAAAAATCGCTGTGTCGTCTGATACGTTCATCCACAACTTAACAGATGCTTTAGTTGAGATTCCTGCCTTGCAGAGGGATGGACCAAATGATCCTAGGGGTCACTTCCAACTCTACAATTCTAATACTATTCTTATGTAAAACTGAGCTTTTTTTTTGTTCATTTGCAAATAAAAGTTAAGTCTGCACTTCTGTGGTGCTCTTACTAGTTTAGAGCTGTTTTCAGTGTTTTTATTGCAAGTACACAGATGGTGATATTTGATTTCCTGTCAGATTTAATGAACACAAGACAGGAGGAATAAGAACATTTGTTTGTTCAGCAAAGTTCATTTTGTGGCTTTTGATTCATAAAGTGCTTACCGTCGTGTTGCTGTTTTATTTGTACAATGTGGTTATATGTTTAACCAAATACAGATGTTAATCATGAGGAATTTTGCAAATTACAGATTGCTAGGTCTCTGTAGCAGGTTTACTCAATAATTTTTAATGATATTGTATATTTTTTATTGTGTATTTCATTGTTGTACACCACCTAGAAATGTGAGCATGACAGGTGGTATATAAATATCCCTAAAGAAATATATGCAATGTCCACAACAAACATCATTGAACAATACTTTCCCTTTTTTAAACCCCTCAACAGCAAATTAAGGCCTGTGTCTCCACTTGCCTGGCAGTGACTCAGCAGGCAAAGTCAATGTTTTTAGACCCCTTAGCCCTTGCCCAGTTGAAAAGAAAGGCCCTGTTAAAATTAGATTCTGAGCAGGTCCTTAGGAGCGTTTTTCCTAATGTTTAACTGTAAACTAAGAGGAAGGTGGTGTTGAAGCAATTGCTTCTTCTTCTGCTCTCCCTGGACCAGGTAAGCAATAGTTTGTCTTTCTTTCTTTTTTCAAATCTGCTTTGCAATTATTATTACTGAAAACCATTGTTCCTAAATTTTCTTTAGGGGTAATGCTCAGTGGGTCAACCTTTCTTTCCTTTTATTCCTTTTGCACATGAGAGGCACTTTTCCCACCACCATGGCTACTCCAAGAGATGCAAATTAATGGATACATAACAAGAAAAGTACTATGGAATAATATCTCAGTACAGGATCACAGCTGAGAGACTCTTATATGGACAAAGACAGAAACATTTATTATTATGTAAGATGGAGGAATGCTTGTTGATTTTATTTTTAAAAAGTATTTGTTAAGTTGTGGGTGAACATATCAGATGACACAGCGATTCTTCAAACAGCTCTTGTTTATTCAGAGGCCAGAACAGAACTGAACTGAAGGGCTCAGTCAGCCTGCTTATATAGAGCTCCAGAACAATGTAACTGTAGCAACTTTCTAAAACTATCCAATCACTGAACATCACTTTCCATCCTTCATTTGCATAACTATCTACAGTATCCCCCTGCTGGCCCAGGGTGAGAACTTCAGTACAGTATTTATGCATTTTTAATAATTTGAGACATCCACTTTCCAGTTATCTTCATTTATCCTACATTCTTCGGCTCCCCCGCACCTCCCTCCATGGGTTCTTAATTAATCCTTGGTTGTGCTGCATTTCCTTAATTACCACCCCTCTTCATGGTTGTTGAAGTTATTGGAGGCAAATTTGAGATGTTTGATTAGAGAAAAACCATTGCTGACATTTATTACAATAATTAGAGAACCCCTTTTGGACTTTTTGTGTGAAAAGGAAAACAAACAAATTTGAGAAATTTGGGTCTGAAGATTGAGAAAATATTGCTTAACAGAAAATAGAACAGTAGGATGTCACCCTAGACTGGATGTTTTGAATAATTTTATTTACGTAACTGACAGAGGGAAAATCAGAAGTCCTCTATTTTTCTTTCTTTTCTTTCCCCTTTTCTTTCTCCTTTCTTTTCTTTTCCTTTTCTTATTTTTCTTTTTATTTGGTGTCCTCTGCTTTGGGTTTATTGGCGTCCAAGGATTACACACACACACACACACACACACACACACAAAGGTAGTGGATGGTTGCTGGCCGAACTCTTAAGTGAGAGGCAGGGCAGGAAAGACCATCCAAGGTGAGAGAATGAGAGAAGAAAAGAAATCTCCCAGGTGAGAACTGGGAGGGTCTCCCACTTTCTGTGTGAGACAAGGGTTAAGAGGTTCTTTTGAGAGAGGACTCTGCATTTGATTTTCTCTTTCTTTCTTTGGTTTTGTTTTTATTTAGATTGGTTTCTTTCATCTTACTGTATTATGAAAAAGCTTTAATAAAATATTATGTGGCAAAAAGAGAAAGAACATGGAGGTCACAGCTTGTAGAGGTCACCAATGATGAGGTACTTAAAAAATCAGCAGAGTGGGGGAAATGTAAACAAAGATGTAAATAAAAGCATGAAAATGACTACAGTGGTACCTCGGGTTACAGACGCTTCAGGTTACATACTCCACTAACCCAGAAATAGTACCTCAGGTTAAGAACTTTGCTTCAGGATGAGAACAGGAATCGGCGGCAGCAGGAGGCCCCATTAGCTAAAGTGGTGCCTCAGGTTAAGAACAGTTTCAGGTTAAGAACAGAACTCCGGAACGAATTAAGTTCTTAACCCGAGGTACCACTGTATGGGGAAAGTAAGTCCACAGGTAGAAGTTTTAAATCATCCGAGTTTTTTCAGAAACAAAAAACAAAATAATACATCTGCGTAGAAAAGCACCGGTACATTTTTTTGGACAACATGGCGCAACATTATGATTAATGTACTTCTTTGTTTTATACAGAAAGGTGTTTCATGGTGGTGATTTTGAGAAGCTACATATCAACGCTCTGCAGGTATCTGCCCCAATTCTGAGACCAGGAATTTTTGTATCAATTAAAAATATAGTTGCCTGCTGGGTCAGACCAGTAGCCCATCTAAGTCCAATTCAAGGTGGCAACCCATTGAGGTACCCATTGAGGCTGTGAGTGGCTGCTTGGCTCAAGGTTACCCATTTGGTTTTCATGGCTGAGTGGACCCTGGCTTGGTCCAAGACTATCACTGCACAACACTGCCTCTGCTTTGGATGCAGAAGATCTAAGGTTCAGTCACCAGTATCTCCAGGTATGGCTGTGAATGTTCAAACTCAGAAACTATGGTGGGCTGCTGTTAGTATAGATGCTGAGCTAGATATGGACCAGTGATCTGATATTCCTGTGACCTGTTGTTAGGGAGAGTGTGGGGGGAAAGTTCAGTTCAGTTCAAATCTTTATGAGAGACAACCTGATTCACGCTTCTAAGAAATTGTTTAAAATCTGCTCAAGAATGAAGCAGGACATACCGTATTTTTCGCTCTATAGGACGCACTTTTTCCCCTCCAAAAATGAAGGGGAAATGTGTGTGCGTCCTATGGAGCAAATGCAGGCTCCTTTGCTTCAGCGATAGCAATGCGAAGCCTCCGAAGCGCAGAGGGAGACCTCCCCCCGCACTCCGGAGGTTTTGCATTGCTTTCGCTGAAGCCACCTGAAGCCCCCAGAGCGCAGGGAACTCCCTCTGCACTCCAGGGGCTTCAGGCAGCTATCTGCAAGCCTTTGGAGCGCAGGAGCTCCCGCTGCGCTCCGAAGGCTTGCGGATAGCCGGCTGAAGCCTGGAGAGCGAGAGGGGTCAGTGCACACCGATCTCTCTTGCTCTCCAGGCTTCACTTCACTGGAGAGGCGCTGCACAGTTTTCCCTCTGCGCAGCGCCCTTTCAGCGAAGCGGGAGGAGAAATGGAAGGGGCTCCGTTTCTCCTCCCGCTTCACTGAAGGGGCACTGAGCAGAGAGGGGGAGAATTCTTTTTCCCCTGTTCTCCCCCTCCTATGGTCCGGTACGTCCTATAGAGCGAAAAATACCTTAAGACAGGGGTAGACAACCTAAGGCCCGGGGGCCGGATGCGGCCCAATCGCCTTCTAAATCCGGCCCGCGGACGGTCCAGGAATCAGCATGTTTTTACATGAGTAGAATGTGTCCTTTTATTTAAAATACATTTCTGGGTTATTTGTGGGGCCTGCCTGGTGTTTTTACATGAGTAGAATGTGTGCTTTTATTTAAAATGCATCTCTGGGTTATTTGTGGGGCATAGGAATTTGTTCAATTTCCCCCCCCCCAAAATATAGTCTGGCTCGCCACATGGTCTGAGGGACGGTGGACCGGCCCAAGGCTGAAAAAGGTTGCTGACTCCTGCCTTAAGATGTCCATAGCCAGAAGGAGAATGAGATAGATTGGGATAGATTTGTCCATACCTAGCGACGCATGGAACTTCCTCTTTTGTTTTTTCTTGTGGAATGAACACTGTATCTTCAGAAGCCCAAGAGTGTAGGATTGTTTCTGTATGTGTAGTGGAGCAGAGTAGCAAAGCACAATCCGTAGGACATTGAGTTATCTAATCATAACTCGTAATGTAGGCAACCACCAACCATTTGCTTTTGACTTGCCTAGTGAATAAAACATCTAGATGTAAGAAAACAACAAAAAATAATAGTGACGTAGATTTAATTTTTAATTTAGCAGAAAAAAGATGTGCATCTAAGCACAGAAGTCGCTGAACAAAGAAGTATTAATTGCTCTCGTTTAACAAAACTCTCCGGCATTTATCTGCACTTATACAGGAAGACAGCAAGTGCATTTGATGTGGTTAATGACAACCGATTGTATAACAAAGTTGCATATTTCGTGCGATATAAATGCTGTTTCCTATTAAGGCTAGATAGATTGTAACTCAGTAGGTAAAAGTCCTTTTGAGATTTATCCAGTTATTAATTTTGTCTCACTAATTATTCTCGTTGAGCATATTGCACATACAAAGGTTGCATGATTTCTCTTTTGTCTTTCGCACAGTAACTTAGAAAGGTGTTTAGACAGGGCTTGGTTCCTTTGTGTTATGCCTGTAATATGTTGTCATGATAGGAAAAGGAGGAACATTTTGTACAGCTTCCGCTGGCCCAGCCAGGAATGCAAAGATGACGATCCAGTTAGTCTGGCATCTATTCCAACGGTTAGAATATCACGCTATTGCTTTCTGAGGCTAAGATTATATGTCACTCAGTCTTGTCAAAAATTCTATGAATATTCAATGAGGATTTTAATGTATTGTAATCAAGGAAGCAATTTCAGTAGAGAAATATTAAATAAGTTGTCATCTCCTCACTTTAAATGCATTGTTTTGCCCATGAAGTGACCTTAGGCAATTTTTAAACAGTGTTTCTCTTCTCTGTTTGGCTTACACCAAATAAATTATTTTTACTTAATGGGAATAAATTCTGATTTAATACATTCTTAAAGGACGAGGTAGTTTTCTAATAAAACCAGGTTTTAATATCTCAGTTTGTTTTTGCAATTTACACTGAAACAAAAATGTAAGTCCGTATATTTAGTCTGACACTTGGATAGCTGAAGCTTTCAGTGTTGTGCTTCCTTCATTCATCCCAGCATTGCTTCAATGAAATTTGCATATTTAAGCGTACATGATGTTTTTTAAAAAATATATATATGTTAAATTGTACCTCTTCCAATGAAGTATAGCTTAGCTTGCCTTTAAATTTTGCTTCCTGGTTTTCATATAAAAGGGTGGAATTTTGCTCAACAATATTCATTCTGTTAATTTTCAACATACAGTGGTACCTCGGGTTAAGTACTCACGTCGGTCCGGAGGTCCGTTCTTAACCTGAAACTGTTATTAACCTGAAGCACCACTTTAGCTAATGGGGCCTCCTGCTGCCGCTGCGCCGCTGGAGCACGATTTCTGTTCTCATCCGAAGCAAAGTTCTTAACCCGAGGTACTATTTCTGGGTTAGCGGAGTCTGTAACCTGAAGCATATGTAACATGAAGCGTAACCTGAGGTACCACTGTATATTGATTTTTAAAAAGGGAAGATTTGTGTATTGAAGCTGTCTTAGAATATTTGGATTTCCCACTAAATGTATATATGCTTTATGGTTATGTAAGCCAAAATGGCAGGCTATAAATAAATATATAAATGCATATGATTCTTTTGCAGTATTTGGCCATTCCCCCCCCCCACGTAATTACACCCGACCGCACCAGCTTGGATGCTGAGTTAGTGGAGAGGTAGTGGGACAGGGGTGGCGCTGCGGTCTAAACCACTGAGCCTCTTGGGCTTGCAGATTAGAAGGTCAGCGGTTTGAATCCCGCGATGGGGTGAGCTCCCAGTGCTCAGTCCCAGCTCCTGCCAACCTAGCAGTTCGAAAGCACGTCAAAGTGCAAGTAGATAAATAGGTACCACACCAGTGGGAAGGTAAACGACATTTCTGTGCGCTCTGGTTTCCGTCACGGTGTTCCATTGCACCAGAAGCAGTTTAGTCACGCTGGCCACATGACCTGGAAAACTGTCTGCGGACAATGCCGGCTCCCTCGGTCTAAAAGTGAGATGAGTGCCGCAACCCCATAGTCGCCTTTGCCTGGACTTAACCGTCCAGGGGTCCTTTACCCTTTTACCTAGTGCTCTTGAAGGGACACTTCTTGCTGCTGGGATACCCAGATCTGACCACCACAAGAGTGGCGTTCTCACACTGCAGCTTCTTCCTGTCGCCTGCCCACTGCTGCTGCCTACCTACCTACCTGGCTGCCTTTAAAAACAGTGCTTCCACTCTGAACTCAGAAGGCGATGTGCGAAGCATCATGTTCCCCACTGCTAAGGAGATTCATTATGCCTGCCTGGCAAGACTGTCTTCCTAGGACTCCGTTGCCAGCTTATCCTCTGCCTGCCCACCTGCCTGCCTTTCAGTGTAGTAATTCAACTCTGCAATTATGAGATGCTCTCAGTGCCCACCTGGCTAAGGTGTCTGTCTTCCTTTGAATTAGTTGCCTGGGAGACGGAGTACAACTCTTAAATCAATTTGTTTTTCTTTTTAAAAAGCTTCATAGAGTAGGCCAAATAGGAGCACAAGAATTGACAGGATCGAGCACTCGGCTAACTGTACATTGGGACGGGGTAGTACTAAACCCCTGTAGACTATATGTCTAAATTTTTTGAAGTTAGGACCGCAATACCTCAAGGACCGCCTCTTTCCATATGAACCTACCCGGATCCTGAGATCATCTTCTGAGGCCCTCGTTTGTGTGTCTCCTCGAGAGGTCCAGAGGGTGGCAACATGAGAACGGGGCCTTCTCTGCAGTGGCTCCCCATTTGTGGAATGCTCTCCCCAGGGAAGTTCGCCTGGCGCCTTCATTATACACCTTTAGGCGCCAGGCAAAACGTTTCTTTT